AAGCCGTCAACCCGACAAAACCACGTCTTTAATCGTCTCGAATCTCATCTCGGAACCTTTTAAATCTTTGATTTAGAGGATAGGTCCCCAACGGTCTGTGACAGAGCTGGACAGTCCCTTGTCTGAAATGGTCTAGGACAGGGGTCTGCAACCTTCAAAACTCAAAGAGCCATTTGGACCCGTTTCCCACAGAAAAGAAAACACCGGGAGCCACAAAACCCTTCCCTGTGCCTGACTATTCCTCGAGCGGCCACAAAACTAGCATACGTAGTTGAATGAAACGTTGTTTTCTTCTGAAACTTTTCTTTTCTTGGATTTATCTACCGGGGGTTGAAAAGCTCAATAAATTGCGTGCCAGTGGGTGTCACACACTGGTGATTGTGACGCATATTTTGAGTGACCAGGAGCCGCAGCAGAGGGGTGAAATAGCCACATGAGGCTCCAGAGTCACAGATTGCTGACCTCCAGTATAGGATCTCTAAATATCTATGGAGATTCCATTTCGCTTCTCATCCAGGAAGCTTCTTCAGCTCTGACCCCCATCCAGTCAGAGCTGAAGAAGCTTCCTGGATGAGAAGCGAAACGTCTTCAAAGAAAAAAAAAAAGGAAAGTCCAGTTGCCTCTTGAGAAAAAAAAGCACCTTTGGGACCAAGGAGAGTTTAGACAGTCAATTGTCTGGAAAGGGTCTCCTGCTTGAGCAGGCAGGCAGCTGGACTAGAAGACTTCCAAGGTCCCTTCCTGCTCTATTCTGATTCAGTTTCTGTTTTTTCCTGTCTCTGAATTGATAAAGATCCCAACTAGCCAACTGGCCAGGAAAAGTCTCCTTTCAGAAGGAGACAAACACACAAACACACATACACACAGACATCCTCTCTGATCTTGGAAAACCAAGAGCTGAAGCTAAACATCGCTGACGGGGGTTTCTGTCAATTGCTCTGAATGCTCAACAGAGGTCGCTGGACACAACGGCAAACCTATCCCGTCAGCCACGTCCGGCTGTTGGCCAAAGAGCTGGCAACTGGCCACCTCTCTGAGAGAGGGCAGGTCAAGCAACCAACCCGGAGGGGATTTTTTAATGTTCTTTTTTTTTAACCCTTTTAATGCTGTAGAGCAGAGGTCTTCAAACTTGGCAGCTTGTGGACTTCGCAAACTTGTGGACTTCAACTCCCAGAATTCTCCAGCCAGCATAGCTTTCCACCAATCGGAATTCTTTTAACTAATGGGGTCCGCAGAGTTCCCCTTCGGCTTCCTGTGTCCACCTACCTGTCTCCTCTGCTATGATCACACTGGCTAGCTTTGTGGCCTGCAGAGAGCGGGTGGTGAGCAGCGCTTTCTGCGAGCAGAGAGTCCCGTTCTCGTAGATCGGCTCAATGGTGACCATGTCATGGCGGGTTGAGTACCTACAGGGCAGAATAGGAGATGCTTAGACTTCCCTCTTTCCACACCAGCTTGGCAACGACCAGTAACCCCTCATCCTCCCTCCCGCCCTCCCAGTTGCTCTTCTCAGCCGTTGCTGGTCTAGACTGGACTTCGGGCAGCAGCATTTGAGACTGGGAGCTGATTCCCATCGTCAGCCAACTTCTCAACGACAGTCAAAACCCAGTCGGTGTCTCCTCTCTGCTACTCCTCCCTTGTATAAGAGAGGATGAATTTATGGATGAAATAAAATCAAGCTCCTTCAAACAGTATTTTAAGGAACGAAGACACCTCTGTGGCCAGATAATGTTCCGTGGCCACATTCCGCTTAGCAATAAACCCACCGACCTCAACTAATTCTAATGCTATTAGGCTTGTTAAATTTTGGCAATAGAAATTCCCACCCACCCACAATCTTGGATGAATTAGCAATAGAGGGGGGTTTTTCTTTCAATTTTGGATAATTTAGTAACAACAATGGATTCCCCCCCCCTTTTTTTCAATTTTCCAAAGGTGCTTTTTCAGGAGGCATCTTTCTTCATCTTCAGTGGTTTAGCGATAGCAGTAGATCGTGGGTTTTTTTTTTCAATTACAGATGACTTATTCATAACAATGTCTCTTTAATCCTGAATGAATTAGCAATAGCGGTGGATTTCCCCCTCCCAATTCTGGATGAATAATTAATAACATTTTTCCAATTCCGAATGAATTTGCCATAGCAGTAATTTCCCTTCCCCACCCCCTCAATTCTGGATGAATTATTAATACTTTTTCAATCTTGCATTAATAACTTTTTCCAATCCTGAATGAACTGAATAGATTTTTGTTTTCAATTCTGGGTGAAGTATTAATCCTTATTCAATCTTACATATTTTTCCAATTCTGGACGAATTAGCCCTAGCAGTAATGTTTTCCCAATTACTACTACTTTTTCAATCTTGAATTAATAGTTCCCCCCCCATTATGAATGAATTAACAATAGTAGATTTTTAAAACTTTTAAAAAACTTTTTTCAATCCTCAATGAATTGAATAGATTCTTTTTCAATTCTGGATGAAGTATTAATACTTATTCAACCTTGGATAGTTTTCCAATTCTGAATACGTTAATAATAGCAGATTTTTTTTTTCAATTCTTGAATTTTTAAAAAATTTTTTGGATTAATTAGCAAAAAAATCCCCCCTTCCCCAATTCTGGCTGTATTAGCAATAGCATCGCTTTACTTAACAGTCCTCTTACTTCCGGGTCGTTGCCACGCCCCGTTTGGTGACGTCACCCCTCCTCCCGTTTCGCCCCCTCCCCGCGAGGCCCCGCCCCCTCACCAAGAATAACAACCGCCCTCAGCGCCCAGCACGAAGGGCACCCGCTTATCCCGGCTGAAGGGCAGCAACACTTTCGGCACGTTCAGCTTGTAGGCCCCCGCGGGCCCCGTCAGAAGAGCCACGGCGAGGAGGAAAAGCGGTGGCGGCGGAACCCGACCCGGCCGGGAAACCGCCCTCATCTTCGAAAGGAGCCCGGTGGCGGCGGCGGCTCGAAAAATGGCGGCCTAAAAGCGTTGCTCTTCGAGCGAGCGCGCGTTGCCCTTGTGCGCATGCGCCGCCTGGCCGCGTTCTTAGCCTCGCGCTTGGTTTCTTCGGTCTGCGCGTGCGCACCTCGCCCTTCTTCGCCTCGTGCTGTTCTAAAGCGTGGGAAAAAGACACGCTTCCTCGCGCTTGCGCCTGCGCGGACTCCAAGGAATTTATACATTGGATTTCAATTGGAGGGGCAGCCACGAGAAACCGGCCATCTCTTGAGCTGCAATACTGCAGACGACCAAGAGTGGGCAGCTGGGGACATCCTAAACCCTGGCCTTGGCTGCCATCTAGCGGTGGTGCCAAGACTTGCAATGCAAAACAAATAAAAATTCAATGCAATATGTGGCCAATCTAAAAATTGTGGTCTTGATGGTGAACTCCAAATTTTGGGGGTTGGTTAATTCCTACCCTTATGGCGTAATGAGAGTCCCTTGGACTGTAGGCGATCCAACCGGTCAGTCCTAGAGGAGATCAACCCCAACTGCTCTTTAAAAGGCCAGATCCTGAAGATGAAACTCAAATACTTTAGACACCTAATGAGAAGGACGGACTCTCTGGAGAAGAGCCTAATGCTGGGAAAGATTGAGGGCAAAAGAAGAAAGGGACAAGAGAACGAGGTGGCTGGATGGAGTCACTGAAGCAGTCGGCGTGAGCTTCAATGGACTCCAGAGAATGGTAGAGGACAGGAAGGCTGGAGGAACGTTGTCCATGGGGTCATGATGAGTCGGACACGACTTCGCTATTAACAAATGGCATAATGGCAGTGTTGGTAGCCCCTGAATTAGCTGGGTTGTCTCAACGCGTCGACCCCAAACTTGGGTTGATAAAACGGTGAACATCTTGGGCGGAACCACCAATGACCTAACTTGATGGGAGCTTCTGTGTGGTTGTGTGAATTTAACGAAGACAGTCTGGTTGTTGACTTAAAAGATATCACTTAAGATTGGCAAATAAAATCAATTTCATGACCTTCCCTCCTGATTTCTCACACAGATGGGGGCTGTCACAAGCTGCCTTCACCCTAAACATTGATTGGATGAGCAAACTACAATTAAACCAAGTTTATCCCGTACAGTTGGGTCGTCACAACCCCAAAACTCAATATATGAATGCTACACAAAGGGCAGGGCAGGTGGGACCGGCTCAGGGCAACCCCACCACCCAGCCAGTCCAACCTTAATTCAACAACAGCCACCGCTACCTTGTTTTCCTGTGTCAGAAGAGGCAGCTAAACACAAACCCTGATAGCCCTACACTTAACAGTTCATTTAGTGACCGTTCAAAGTTACATCATCACTGGAATTTTAAAAAGGACCATTTTAGACACAACCATTGCAGCTCACATGATGGAGTGGTGCAGTGACGATCAGGAGACTCTTGAGTTCGATCCTAGATAGAGGCAGATATTTCTCTCTCTGGGAACAATGAGAATATATCTGATGAACAAAACTCCGCATTGGTGACAGGAAAGGCATCCGGCCACTCTGCTAGCTCCATTAAATTGCCCAGACTCCACCCCGCAAGGGATTATGGGGTCGTTAAATGATGATTGCAGCTCACGTGATAAAAAAAATTCAGACGCTTGGCAACTGACTCATATTTATGACCATTGCTATGTCCCGAGGTCACGTGATCCCCTTTTGTGACCACCTGACGAGCAAAGCCAACGGGGAAATCCGGTTTCACTTCGCAGCCGTCTTACTATTTTAACAACTGCAGTGATCCACTTATCAACTGTATCGAAAAAGGTCGCAAAATGGGGGACTCACTTCAGTGTCTCAGCAAAAGACATTTTGGGCGCAGCTGTGGTCGTAAGCAGAGGACTAACTGTACTGAACACCACCAGCCCCAGTGAAAAGAATGACATAGAATGTGAAGGATGTGTGTTTTTGTTATATATATTTTTTATGCATCATGTACACGAAAGATGGCACTTAATTTGGTTGTACGAGGTGCAATGACAATAAAGTAAACTAAACTGAAATCCTAGTAAAAGAAATCACAAAGGAGCAGAGGGAATGTTTCTGTTTATTATTCAAAAAAAAAAAAGAGACAATAAAAGACCCAAGCTTTATTTTTTTAGTATCAAAACACTTGATATAATTTCCTTACTCCTCCCTCCCTCCCCCCCCACCTCAAATACACACACTGGCTTTGAAAAGCCATGGCAGCGTATACAGTATTTCTCCTATGACACCCCAAAAGGCCTATACAGAGATGCGTTTAAAAAAAATAACACAACCTTTAGGGGATCAAATTTTGAGAGTACAGAGTGTATCCCCCCCATACATCCAGTTTCTCTTCAAGACAGAACGATCAGCTCCCGACTAGAAACAGGACAGGAGAGGGGGAGGGAAAAACTCCCCCTCGTATTCAGGAGCACCCCAAAAAGTTACAAGCCTCTCTCCCTCACAAAAACCCCTTACGCACGGAACACCAAGCACCCAGAAACTTAAACCTAAGTGGGGAAGAAAACGTGGGTTATTCGGATATAGTGTTTTCCTCGAAGTGTCAAGAAATATAAGTGCAGAAAAGAAAGAGCGAAGGAGCTTAAGAACGATTTACATGGGTTTAAAGAAAAGGAAACTTAAAAAAAACAAAAACAGACACACGGACTCCCGATTATGGTTTTTCTTTTAAACACACTTCTTTTGCCCCCCCTCCCCCAAGCTGGAAAAAAGGTTATAAAAACACAGATTAAAACAGCAGCGGAGAAAGCACATTCAGCCCAACTTATTTCCTAAAAAACGCCGAATCTAAATATTCAAAAAAAGGGGAAAAAAATGGAAGAAAGGGGAGAGAAACGAGGGAAGGGGCTGGTGCTTCCTTCCGGAAGTGAATGTTTCCCTGGTTAGCGGACGCCGCAAAAGCTTTGCTGGTTGTTCAGACAAACGACGACAGGATTTAAGATTATTCCATCCATCCAATCGGGCCCTGTCCCCAATTCGGCAGGCGAACAAAACAGCGCATCAATTAAAAAGCTGCGTGGTTTCAACATTGTGCACTGGGGGTGGGGGGGAGCCTGCACAATACGTGTTCGGGAAAGGAGGAACGTTAACCCGAAACACACATATAATTTCATGCCTTAAAAGGGTGCATTTCAGTCGCTCGCTCCCTTCAAATTCTTCCACGGGGGGGGGGGGAATAGGAGGTTGCCTATTTTTCCTTCCTTCCTTCCTTCTGGCTAAACATTTGGACAAGGAAGAAAAAATAAATAAAAGCAGGGCAGAGGCTTTTAAGTTAAGTTGGCCCCCAAGCATTAGGAATGTAATTTATATATGACACTTTTTTTCCCCCCTCGCCAGAGTTAGAGTTCAATTTTCTGGTTATTATTTTTCCCCCTTGAAAAAAAAAAAAGAAAAAAAAGAACAGAGCTGAACTCGGCAGAGAATCGCTGCTCGGGGAGGGGCCGTGGGGTGGAGAGAAAGGGCGGGAGGGGTCTGCCGTCGGCCCCCCCACTTTTTTTTTACATGTCGTTCAGATCGAGCAGGGTCTGGTCCAACATCCGTTGTGTGCAGAGATGTTCCTCTTTGGTGCATTTCAGCTTATCTGGAAGGAAGGACAGAAAATGTTAAGAGGGCTCCGAGATTAGTGGCATTCGTTTCCCCACCCCCTACCCCCCCGAAAAATAGGTGCACCCCTGGCATTGCCATGCTGCCACGCAAAGCTTCGATCGGCGTGGGTTGTGCTTCTGCGTTTCCACCCACCCACCCAGCTCCCACTGGGGATGGTTCTCTCGTTCATATATTAATAACCCCGTGCAGTTGTTGGTTGGCTGTTGTGCCCGCTTGGCCATCCGTTTTGCCCAAAGATAAGCAGAGCTTTGTGCAGTGTGCGCTTGGGGAAAAAAACACACACACACACACACAAAACGCAACTCGCGTAATTTTCCTTCGCCAATTTGGGCTGAACCAAGGTTTAAGAAAAATGTCCTCGTCACTCCAATCTTTGACCCATAAAGGAGAATATTTGTAGCTCAGGGTAGAAATGAGGAGTCTTTGGTGCTCTCTGAACTCGGTTGTTTTCTTGCAGGCGTTTCATGACCCAAACTGAGTAACATCAACACTACCAGCACTGATGATGTTACCTAGTCGGATCATGAAACGTCCGAAAAGCACCGAGCTCGGAGAACCCCCAAGGAGCCCTCATTTCAATTGTGCTTGCCGATGTTGAAAGTTTCAGTTATTGGTTTCAAGGACAGATTAATCCAGAACCCCGGTTCCAAATCTGGAACCACAACTGAACCATTTCTGGGCTGGAAGGACACACAAGCACACACAGAGCTCCGACAACAAAACAATGTTTTAGCTTGTGATGTTTTAGCTTGCGGTGTTGTCCTGCCTTGCAAGGAAGAGGTTTTTTTTTTTAAGGTCTGGGGGCAAAAGGAGCTGTGAGCCTCGCAAAATAATAATAATATGAAAAAAATGCAGCGGAGAGTCCGGAGTTCAGGATCACAATTCGGGGGCGAAGGATCCATTTTAAAAGCTAATCCTCCTCGTAAATCATCAATCAAAACCATCAAGTGCCTTCCCCGGGGAAACAAACCGAGGTTCATAAGAACGCCCACACTGGGCAGGGCACTTTGTCAGCCTGGCCAGATCGTGGCTTGTTCGTTTAAAATTCTTATTTTTGGGCAGGGACGTCGATCTTGCAAAAGTAGCTGAGCTTGAGAAAGCGTGAACCGCCTGGAATTCTCCCCCACCCACGCAAAAAAAAAGTTTAGCCGACAAAGATTAGAACTCAGATCTTCCATTTCTGGGTCAAAGTCTTACCCCCGTGACCAAAGCCAGAAAGCTTGCCATGTGCAAAGCAGAAATAAAGTAGGATTCTGAGGGGAGGGGGGAATATATTCCCCGGTATTTCCAACTCCGTAGCAGCAAGGAAGGGGGAAAACACCAGAGTCCGTTTCAGGCCAAACAACGAACAAGCCAAAATTGGAAAACAGCCTTTTATTAAAGCAATAAAGGATATATTTTCCAGTGCAAAAAATAAAAAATAAAGCATGCTTCCTACACAAACTAGATGCCTCTGGCCGTTTCCAGCTTCCGTATCACCGGCCGGATGGAGCTCCCGTAGCCACGGATCATCCTTGCCTTGTCAGCTGAACCGATGCCAGGGGGTTGAGATACCTACCCAAAGGGGGTTTTGTGTATGTGTGTGGAGGATTTATTTTTCCTGTCTCTCGGACATCGGGTTTAAAAATGATTGGCGGTCAAAGAAATAAGGAGACCTCAGGCGTATAACAAGCGGGCCAGTGATTTTTTTTTTTTTATTGATAACACAGGAAAAGCTTAGGAAAACCGTGGACGCGACCCATGCAAACCGAGCGTACGGACAAACCAAACAACACGCGGAAGAGATTTTAAAAGTGGGGGTGGGAAGTGGGGAATTCAAAGGCAGCAATAGAAGGGGACGGCGGGGGGGACGAAAAGGCCTGAATTAGCATCTCTCTAGCACCCCAGGAAAGAAAAATAAAATATTTGTCAAACACACGAATCTTAAGTTTCCTGGTGTTCGGTTTACAACAAGGCAACGGACTATGTGACGGGCGTACTATAAACTTAGAAAACGTGGCGATGAAGAGTGGAAACATCGTCAGTCGTCGGCTGAAAAGCATTCAATGGCCTTGAGAGAAAACGGGGTGCTTTGTCGTCCCTCCCGTATCCCTTTAGCCTGCAGGAACTGGGTTCCCCCAAAAAATATTATTTTTTTTAAATTGGTGGACCGGTTTTTGGATTTTTTTGCGGGGGGAGTGGGTTTTCAATCGCACAGATCATGCAGAGTTAACTTCAGTTCCTTAGCCAGCAGCCGGTTTTTTTCAAGCTGGCTGGAGAGACGGTCTACGGGGGCCACGCAGAAAGGAAGAAAGGAAGAGATTAGGGGAGAAAATTGGGGGAGAGGGGGAAGAGAATGAGAAGAGAGAAAGAGGGGAGAAAAAAAAAAGAGAAAGAAAAGGGAAGGTTAGTAGCCCCAGAGAGAAGTGCCCCTCCCCCACTGAGGCATGCTACAATTTCAAATAAATCAGGATTCGGAGTCCTTTTCCCTCCCCACCCCCCAAGGGTGGCTGGAGAGGACCAGGAAATAAATAAATATATATATATATTTATATATATCCCAGGCAGTTGCTATCACATCGAACTATTCTGTATCAAATTTGTACTTGCTGATAAAGAAATAAAGGGAGACTAGTATAGATCTATTTCAAGCTATTTAGCTCTCATCAGCTAGCCTTAACTCGGATACAACTGCCTAATATGCAGGCAGCCCAAGTTCGAATCCGAATTAAAGCAAGAGGCTAAAAAAGTGGGAGTTCTAGCTGGGTGACTTTGGGCCAATTAGCAGGAGACGGTGAGTTCTAGTCCCGCCTTAGGCATGAAATCCACTGGGTGACTTTGGGCCAATTAGCAGGAGACAGTGAGTTCTAGTCCCGTTTTAGCTATGGAAGCCAATTGGGTGACTTTGGGCCAATCCCTCCCTCTCACCCCAACCCACCTCAAAAGGTTGTCGTCGTGGGCTTAAAAAAGAGGAGGTGTCTTTGGTAGGTTCACTGCCTGGAGTTATTTGTAAAAAATTATAAGCGGGATGCAAATAAATAGAATGGAAAAGAGGGTTTAACCAGGGAAAGTTTGGGAAGAATTGATTTAATGTTTTCCTGGAAGGAGCCAGCCCTGAACTTGCGATTTTTTTCCAAAATGCCGTGGGAGGCCATACCCCCACCCCCTCTGCAATTGCATCGTTGGTCTGAATGACGTCCTATCCCGCCGAGAAGGGGCACCAAGCTTCTCCGGAACCCCTTAAATTTCACTCCCCCTTCTCCACCCCATCCGAATGGGAAAGACGAACGGCTTATCTGAAGCCAAGTCATCACTCAAGGCGTGCCACGTTTGGTGGCCCAAAGTTTCCATTCCTGAACGTGGTTTTTCTAGTGTTCCCCTTTCCTCGGCTTCCCTTTAAGTGGGCCGATCCCAAAAGTCACAGCAGCCTTAGAAAATGGGACTTACGACCGGTCCTTGCACTTATGACCATCGTGCCATCCAGTCACCTGATCAAAAATTCGGGTGTTTTGATAACCGGTATGTCCAGGCAGTTCTCGACTTACAAAGTCGACGTAACTCCGAAGTTACGATGGCACTTTAAAAAAAAGCGACTTAGAGTCGTGTTTTTTCCCCCCACATTTAAAGACCGTTGCACCTTCACTGCGGTCAGGTTGGATCAAAACTCAAGACTCGCTTGGCGACCAACTCATATTTATGACAGTTGCCATATATCGCGTGATGCCCGTTTGCAACCTTTTGACAACGGGGAAGCCAAATTCACTTAATAACCGTGAAGAACTATAGAGTGATTCGTTTAACAACCGTGGCCAGAAAGGTCTTATAACAGAGCAAAATTCATTTAACAAGCGTCTGGCTTAGTTAGCAATGGAAATTTGGGGGCTCCGTTGTGGGTCGTAAGTAGAGGACTACCTGTATCGTAGAACGGGACCCCCAAAAGTGGGCCTTTTATGTTGGGGTCCCCGTCTTACAGTTGGCAGGTCCCACGCTCCCCAAAAGCTGGATGATTTGATTTTGAGATACTTCTCTAAGTATTAAAAACTCATTTTTTCAGACCAAAGTTTGCTCTTTTGAGCGTTGGCGGAGCCCCCCCCCCAAACACGGTGTTTATTAGCATTACCCCAGGGGTGTGAAGGTTTCCCCTTACTGGCTTTTAATACCAATTGTAGTTTTTATTCTGGTTAGCATCCGTAGAAAATATGCAATCCACAAGCAAACCATGGCAGCAGCGAAAGGGAATTAAGATGACCGGTGGCGTCAAAACCTTTTGAAACGATTCCGCCCGTCGTCTCTTTTAAAAATTTTGGGACGTCAAATGGAAACGTTTTTGAAATTTTGGAGAGCTTGGAGAAGTGTATGTGTGTGTCACAAAACTCAAAATGGTACAGATAGTCCTTCATTTACGACGTGAATCGAGCCCGCAGCTATGGTCGTAAGCGACTGAAGGTATTACGGGACCGGATTCAAAGTTGCGTCCAATTTTGTTTCAGTCATTAAGCAAATGCTGTGCTCGTTAAGCAAAGGCAGCCGTCGCTAAGGAAGGTGTTTTCTCTCATGGGGGTTTGGATACCAAAACCTGGAAATAAATGCCGGAAACGGGGTCGAAAAAAAACTTCCCAACTGCAGTCATGTGACCGCAGGGTTTGCAGCGATTGTTAACGCCAACAACGGGTCGTTAAGTGGCTCTGTCGTAACTTTGGACAGTCGTAAATTGAGGAATTCCTGTAAATCCACAGCAGCTCTCCCCATCTAACCAGGAAATGGAGGTTTGAAGACACAAATGATACACAAGCCAACATTAGTGCATTTTGCTTATTTTCCAGTGACAGCAATACAACAATGTTGTGTCCCAGGTGCTACACAGCCGCAACGGTTCCGAGCCGGGCCCCAATCCCTGCAGAGAAGAAACAGCCCCCCCGCCCCCCGAGTAAAGCCACCCAAGAAAAAGTCCACTAAGGCCACAGATCACAAAGGTGCTTGTGTTTTGGAGAGGCGTGCAAGATCGGACAGCCGTCCCCCCGCCGGACGGAGGACACTCGGGCAAAGGATGAGCCTTCTCACCCTCCGAAATGGGGTGCATGTGCGATTTGGGGAGCGTGGGGGTGGGGGGAAGAGGCAGGACTAGGGAGGGAGGGAGGAAAGAGACTAGATAGATAAATAGGTCGATGGGAAGGAAGGAAGGAAGGAAGGAAGGAAGGAAGGAAGGAAGGAAGGAAGGAAGGAAGGAAGGAAGGAAGGAAGGAAGGAAGGAAGGAAGGAGGTTAGATAAGATAAATAGGTGGATGGGGAGGCAGGGAGGGAGGAAGGAAGGAAGGAAGGAAAGAAGGAAGGAAGATGGTTACATAAGATAAATAGGTAGATGGGAAGGAGGGAGGGAGGGAGGGAGGGAAGGAAAGAAGGAGGGAAGGAACAAAAAAGGAAGGAAGGAAGGAAGGAAGGAAGAAGATTAGTTAGATAAATAGGTGGATGGGAAGGAAGGAGGAAGACGTTTAGATACGATAGATGGGCAGGGAGGGAGTGAGGGAAGGAAGGAAAAAAGGAAGGAAGGAAGGAGACTAGATAGATAAATAGGTAGATGGGGAAGGAAGGAAGGAAGGAAGGAAGGAAGGAAGGAAGGAAAGGAAGGAAGATGGTTACGTAAGATAAATAGGTAGATGGGAAGGAAGGAGGGAGGGAGGGAAGGAAGGAAAAAAGGAAGGAAAGAAGGAAGGAAGACAGGGAGCCGGATGAAGGTTTTTTGTTTTAATAAAAGGCAGACTTCGAAAGCTGCAGGCTGAGCTGCTAAGTGGAGCTTTGGAATCACCAGTTTTATCTGTTTGCGAGAGAGAGAGAGAGAGAGAGAGAAGGAAGGTTTTAGCTCTTAGGGAATGGGTGTGTGTGTGTTTGTGTGTGTTGGGGCAGCAAGCAAGGGACGAGGCGAGCAGGAAAAAGGACACAACCCTCGTGCTGCGACAACGGACGGGTGCAGTTAAGAGAAGCCAAGGGTCCAAGGAGGAGCCAAAATCACACCACCATGCCAATAACAACTCGGTTTTCACAAGGACGCCAAAGAGTTGTTGAGAAGGATTAGACTGGAGCGAGCATCACAACTGACCAGCACCCACAACTTCGACAAAGCGACAACACCCCACCGGGATCAAGGAGATCTCCTGAGACGACAACTCGGTAAACCAGATTAAAATTAACAGCCGATTTGCCCGAACCGGTCAGAACCAGCTGAATCCCACTTCTGGTGTTGCTGAAGGCTGGCGTGTCATCCCCCACCCCTAAAATGTTGCATGTCGCCTTTGACATGCACGTCGTAAGATCATCGTAGAACAACATCCTAATTCGATCAGACTGGGGGGGGAGAGGGGGAGTCCCCAATTTGCTCGGCGCATACTCCGTGGCGGCCGGTGGGCAGCATCCAAGCTTCAAACAGTGTCGGTGAGACAGCCACAGGCGTGCGGCTTTTATCGTAAGAGGTTAATATCTCCCCCAAAGCTGAGGGTCAAAGGACAGCCATGCGCCCCCAAAATAGAAGGGGTGACCCTTTCAACGGGCCCGGGAATCGTGCACGAGACAGCAAGTTAAATAGTAGAAAGTCACTCAAGGCATCCCGAGCATCGCTTAACCCCAAAACCCTGCGCCCCCCCTCTGCCTTCCCACACCCCGACACAAACACACACAGCATGCCAACACAAGGCCAACACACTGCAAACATCGATATTTACATGGAAGTCATATCATTGAGGGCATGGTCCAGTTCCTCGCTTATGGCTTTGTATTTCAATTTCTGAGAATAGAGTTCATCTAAAACAGATTGGAGGGAAGGGGTGGGGGAGATCATCAGAAGGGAGAACAGAGTGGGGAGGGGGCATCGGGAGGGTCAAACCAGGTTTTTCCTCGAGAGAGAGAGAGAGAGCTAGAAGGGTAACCCGCGATCCAAAACTTACTACGGTTTTCTAGGATTCGAGGAGAAAGAAAGAAAGAAAGAAAGAAAGAAAGAAAGAAAGAAAGAAAGAAAGAAAGAAAGAAAGAAAGAAAGAAAGAAAGAAAGAAAGAAAGAAAGAAAGAAAGAAAAGGCAGGCAGGCAGAGAGAGAGAGAGAGAGAGGGAGAAAGAAAGAAAGAAAGAAAGAAAGAAAGAAAGAAAGAAAGAGAAAGAAAGAAAGAAAGAAAAGCAGGCACAGAGAGAAAGAAAGAAAGAAAGAAAGAAAGAAAGAAAGAAAGAAAGAAAGAAAGAAAGAAAGAAAGAAAGAAAGAAAGAAAGAAAGAAACTATGTAGATTTCTTCAAAAGCTAAGGCTGCGGTGCAAATATTGTATAGTGCAATATTAATGCAATATCGGTTTTTCAATTCGATTGTATAAAATGAAGGATGTGTGTTTGTGTTTTATTTTTATAATAATAACGTATGCCAAAGATGGCATTTAATTTCATTGTACGAGGTGCAATGACAGTAAAGTAAAAGTAAAGTAAAAGTAAAGTAAAAGTAAAAAGTAAAGTAAAAGTTTTTTAAAAAATCTATTTTATCTCCATGAAAATTAAAGAGGGAATCAGGTCCCGTGTCCAGAAAGAAAATAAAAATAAGAACTTAAAACCAAGCTGTGGGTCTCGCTCAATTATTTTGTGCTGGAAAACACACAGCAGATAGAATTATTTTCCCCTTTCTTTTCAAGATTTCGCCCTGCCCCACTTCATTTGAATTTCGTAGGGGGAAAACAATGCTGCTTTGTGTGGGCCCAGAATGGCTGGAGAAAACAATTTTGAGCTCAGGGATGAGCCGTTTACAACTTTTACATCTATCCCATTGAGTTTATTACAGTCACAGACCAGAAGAAATAAAAACACTCGGTATAAATGTACAATTAAAAATTCTTGTATAAAATAATAAATAACAACTAAAATCTACGATAAAATCCAGTCTTGTCGATTATACATGGTCGAACTATCCTAAAATTCCAATCCATAAAATGTGTGGCCCATTGTCGGTTTAATACTAAAGGGAAAGGACTTTTACACATAAAAACGTACATATCAGATCAGGAACCCATCACATTCCAGAGTCTGCAATTTGCAAAAAATATTGGGGGGGGAGAGGCGTCGATTTGCATATTTTCAGGAGAAAAACAATTAGCTATATAATCCCTAATGCACAGAGACGTGATTGGCACGAAATCTCAGGAGAGAAACAGAGAAATCAATGTGTAATAAACTAAAAATATCCAGAAACTGCGGAATCTAATCTTGGCGTCCTTTCCCAATAAATCTGGTTAAAGAAAACTACGAGAATCTTGCTTGGCTGTAAGCAGCTGGCTGAAGGTTTGAGCGTCCTCCCCCCTATCTTAACATCTGGGTCCAACCCAGAGAGCTCGCATATCCTTTCGCCTGTGGTGTCGTGCACATTGATCTGGATCAGACGTGGGAAAGCTGCTGTTATCCAGATGTTTTGATATTAACCGTTTCCGGCAGCTTCAAGGCGATAGATATTGAAAGTTGAGGCTTGAAAATATCGGGAGAATTATCCGTTCCTCAGCTTTGTTCTAAATTCTGGTGGTAAAGTATGGTTTGCATGAAGCCCCGTATCCCGAAGGTGGGGTTTTTTTTCCTTGAAGAGGTTTCGCCTCTCATCCAAGAAGCTTCTTCGGTTCTGACTGAAAGTTGGAAGATGGATAGGGATTTGGTCCTTAGCACTCTTGCTGAGAGCCATTGAAGTCACTTGGAGGTTTTTATCTGTGGTCTCCAAATGGCCTCAGCGGGAGTCCTAACGACCAGATGACTGCAAAGAAGCACAAATCCTTCCATCAGAACTGAAGGAAGCTTCTTGGATGAGAAGCGAAACCTCTTCAAGGAAAAACAAAACTCCAGTCGCCTTTGGAAAAAACACCTTGGGGAAAACCGTGACTTGGATGACTGAGAAATCTCCACAGACGTAGTCAAGAGTCGCTTCTCGGGTGAAACCTACCTTCCAAGTCATCGATGGTCTTCTCCAATTTGGCTACCGATCTCTCGGCAAACTCGGCCCGGGTCTCTGCCTGTGGAAGGCAGGAGAAATACGAATCAGACGACGTTCCTGGCTTGAATTATGGGACAGTTTCAAACCCAAGGCAGGTAGAATAACAGGACTTGGAAGGGACTTTGGAGGTCCTCAGTGTATAGCATCAACCTTGTTAACCCTCAAGACTCTTTCCCACCCGCTATGGTGTATAATTAATATATGTATGTATGTATGATGAATGTATATCGTCATCATTTTAGCCATTGTTTATCCACTGCAGGATGAAGGCCTCTTCTACACGTTTCCGACTCATATGTGTGTGTCAGAGGTGGTATTCAGCCGGTTCGCACCGGTTCACACAAACCGCTGGCGGAAATTTGGCCAAGGATGCCGAACCGGTAGTGATGGCCGGCTGGTCACACCCCTTCACCAGTCCCCCGATTGCCGATCGCTCGTCCCGCCTGCCATGTTCTTCACGCACGCGCATCCCATTGCCTTGCAAGTCCAATGGGATGCGCGTGCGCGAAGAACATGGAGGCAACGGCAGCTGCTTTTTCCGCGACCTCCGGTACTTTTCAGCGGCCAGCCGTGGCCTCTTCGCCAGCCACTTTTCAGCAGCGGCGGCTGGCCGCAGGCTACCAAAAACTCCGGCGAGCTTGCCTTCTAGACTCTGGACCAGCTGGCGCGGAAGGTAAGCAGCCCAACAAAGTGGTGGTGGGGGGGAAGGAAGCGGGGCTAGGGCCGGGGCCACTAAAGGAGGGGAAATGGGGGTGACTGGTGGGGGTAGATAGATGGAAATTCCGAACATTTTCCTACCTTTTCCTGTGGGCGTGGCTAGGTGGGGGGGTCATGTGACTGGGTGGGCATGAGTGATGTCAAGTTGGCCACGCCCACTCAGTCACATGCCCACCTAGCCACGCCCACCAAACCAGTAGCGAAAATTTTTGAAACCCACCACTGTGTGCGTGTGTGTATAATTTCATTTAAAATTGACAGTAAAGGTTATCTCATCTCATTATCTATCCCGTTCCAGGCAAACGGTTGTCCAATCTCTTCTTCAGAAAACTCCAGTGATGGAGCAGCCACAACTTCTAGTGGCAAGCCGTTCCACTGGTTAATGGTTCTTACAGTCGGGAAATTTCTCCTTAGTTCTAGATTGGTTCTCACCCGGCCTCCTATGCCACTCACCTCTTTGAGTTTGTCAGTCAAAATCTTGATCTCCTCTTCATATTTGTCCTCTTTTTGAGAGTACTGGAGGAGGAGAAAAAAAGACACACTCAAGAATCCAACTGTAACTGAGTGTGCGACCCTGAGTACATCATCCCCCAAAGTCAGGTCCCTGCTCGAGGTAGAGACTCCCACCCAGCTAATTTTGGAGTTTTATCCTATGCCTTTCAGATTGAAATATGGAAATTTCAGATGCTTTCTTAACCCCCAATATGGGAAGCCGGATCCCCTTAACGTTGTTTCATTGGTGTGTTTCATTTAAACAACCGCAGCCAAAAAAAAAAAAAAAAAATCGTAAAATTGGGTGCAACTTTAGCCACATAAATTGGGGTCATAACTACAGGACTACCTGTAACTCCGATAAACATTGTCCTATAGTACTTCAAAAGAAAAAAAACAAAAAAGACAGATGCTTAGGAATGTTATTTATATAGTTTTATCTTCTGAATATTGTAAGCTGTTCAGAGTTACCCTGTGGTAAGATAGATAGATAGATAGATAGATAGATAGATAGATAGATAGATAGATAGATAGATAGATAGATAGATAGATAGATGGATAGATGGATAGATGGATAGATGGATAGATGGATAGATGGATAGATGGATAGATGGATAGATGGATAGATGGATAGATGGATAGACGGATAGACAGATAGACAGATAGATAGGATAAATGAGAATAGATAGATGGATGGATAGATATGAGAGTAAATGGATGGATGGATAGATGAGTGGATGGATAGATGGATGGTAGATAGATATATAGATAGATAATGGATGGATGGGTTGGTGGGTGGATGGATGGAGGAAAGAACAGAGATAGATATATAATAGATAGTAATGATAGGATAGATAGATAGATGATAGATGGATAGATATGAGAGTAGATGGATGGATGGATGGATGGATGGATGGATAGATGAGTGGATGGATATATGGATGGTAGATAGATATATAGATGGATGGATGGATGGAGGAAAGAACAGAGATAGATATATAATAGATAGGAATGATAGGATAGATAGATAGATGGATAGATAGATAGATGGATAGATGGATAGATATAAGAGTAGATGGATGGATGGATAGATGAGTGGATGGATAGATGGATGGTAGATAGATATATAGATAGATAATAGATGGATGGATGGGTTGGTGGGTGGATGGATGGATGGATGCAGGAAAGAACAGACATAGATATATAATAGATAGGAATGATAGAATAGATAGATATAGATAGATGAATAGATAGATAGATGAAAGGAGAGAGAGAGAGAGAGAGAGAGAGAGAGAGAAAATAAAATAAAATATAAAATAGCTATGTAGAGTTAGAATGATGACAGCCAAAATATAGATTACACAATTAACCAACTGACCTCACGGTTATTTTCTCAGCAGACCCAAGAAACCCATCCCCCCCTGCCCCCCCCCAAAAGGCCGCAGAGGGATTTTGCGATTCCATTTCTAATCATCACCATCATCGATTTTCATATCTCAGCAGGAGGGGGAAAGGACCGCCCTACCTTCTCTGCCTGAGCCTCAAGCGATTTGAGATTGTTGGTAACGTTCTTCAGCTCGTCTTCCAATTCTGAACATTTACTGCGCGTGTCGGGGAAGGCGGAAAAAGAAAGAAAGGATGGGGGGAAGGGGAGGGGAGAAAAAAGAAAGAAAGAAAAGGACAGGGTGGGAAGGATGGCGAGAGGAGACAGAAAGAAAGAGAAGTGAATCTTTGAGTTGGGAAGTGGGGGTCGGGTGTGATGTGAGGACACAGATGTGAGGACAATCAACCCATAGAACAGAAGTTGTCAGAAATGGTGTAGGATCTCCTGCTTGATGGGGTTAGACTAGATGACCCCAAAGGGCCCTTCCGATTCTGTTAAATGTGAAAACCTAGTGCTATTATTATTATCTTTATTTATTAAATAATAATTTTTCAACTGAGTGTCTATTCGAAGGGTACAGGTTTTCGTTCCCTGGGGAATATTATAATAATCTTTTATCATATTGCCATATAATATTCTATATTATGCAAGCCTCTTCCCTCGCGAAACTCCAAATAAAACGAGTTTGCTTGGAGCGCTGTTCGCTTTAAACCAACCGCGACCTTCGTTTCACGACTGCTGGGAAAAAGCCACACCGGAGTCTGGATTTACAGCCCTTAATTCTGGCCTTAATTACTGTCGTAAATCGAGAACTATTTGTAAAATCCTATTGTGGGGAAGAGACATCTGATTCCCACTCCCTTCTCCCTGGTCCTTCCCTTCTTTTGCGGTTCTTTTAAGGCTAAAATTAGGACTTCCTGCTTGGAGCTGCAAAATAAAATAAAATAAAATAAAAATTGCTATCGCTTTCCAGCAGCTTCTGCAGATGCCAGGATGCCAGCTTTAGGATAGCCAAAGGCCCAAATGGTAGCTAAAGATAAATGTGTATACATCCGAATTAGACTGTGTTGTTTCTCTGTGTCGTATAATATCTGTGGGTAGATACATAATTCTGTATTTATTTATCTTGCCGTGTCCATGTGGTGTAAAATCGGAGGTGGTGACCCCTTTAAGAGCTGTAGGCAACGAAATTTCATTTTTAATCTGTGCCATTGTGCATTTAGTACCGTATTTCCCCCCGAAAATAAGATCTAACCAGAAAATAAGCCCTAATGCGTCTTTTGGAGCAAAAATTAATATAAGACTCGGTCTTATTTTCAGGGAAACATGGTAATTCAATTCAATTCAATTCAATTCAATTCAATTCAATTCTATTCTATTCTATTCTATTCTATTCTATTCTATTCCATTCTATTCTATTATTCTATTCTATTCTACTCTACTCTACTCTACTCTATTTTCTTTTTTCTCTATTCTCTATTTTCTCTATTCTACTCTACTTTCTCTTCTCTTCTCCTCTCCTCTCATTCTATTCTACTCTATTCTCTATTTCTATTCTCCTATTCTACTCTACTCTACTCTACTCTAATTCTATTCTATTCTATTCTCTATATTCTCTATTTATTCTCTATTTTCTCTATTCTACTCTCCTCCCCTCCTCTCCCTCTCATTCTATTCTACTCTATTCTCTATTCTACTCTATTCTACTTCTATTCTATTCTCTAAATTCTCTATTCTCTCGTCTCTATTCTACTCTACTCTCTTCTCTCCTCTCCTCTTCTGTTTCTATTCTACTCTATTCTCTATTCTTCTATTCTATTCTATTCTATTCTACTCTCTATTTTCTATTCTATTCTACTCTACTCTACTCTACTTCTCTTCTCTCTGCTCTCTTCTCCTATTCTATTCTATTTTATTCTATTCTATTCTACTGTACTGTACTGTACTGTACTCTAATTCTATTCTATTCTACTCTATTCTCTATTCTCCTCTCCTCTCCCCTTCCTTTCTCTTCCCTCTATCCCCTATCCTATCCTATATGGGGGCACCGGCACCAGAAGGCCCAGGCGCACAGCTTACAAGCTGCGAGGATGGCCGCCAAAGTGCCCGTTCGTGCCAGAATCTGGTGAGAGCTTGCCTGGCTAAAACCAGCAGCCACAGCGGCTGTCTGTTTGAAAGAAAGCAAAAATGTTTTTGTTTTTTTTTCAAAAAATAAAAAAAGGAAGGAAGGGGGAAAAAGCGGCTCAGAGAAGGCAAGGCCAGGGAAAGCAGAGCCCGTCAAGCATCGAAGGCAGCAAGGAGAAGGAGAAAAGGAGGGACGTGCACGGGAGGAGCAGAGGGAGAAAAATGAGAATTTAGGAGCCTCGGCGCGCAAGGGAGGCGAGCCAGCGAGAGAGAGAGAGAGGGAGAGAGAGAATTAGTACCTTTTCTTCAGCCTGAGAAAGGAATTTCAAGTTTTGGTCCATCAGACGGTTCTGCTCATTCGTTTCTCGTAAACGGCTGGTTTAGGGACGGCCACGGGTTCGAGGGGGGAAGGAGGGGCCGGAAAGGAGCAGCGGCGGCGGCGGCAACAACAACGGAAAAAGAGGCAAAGCAGCCGTAAAAGGAAGGGACGGACGGACGGACGAGGAAGAAAGGCAAGGGGGGGAAAAAAAGGAAAAATAAAAATTGGTCACAACACATGCATGGCGGGAGGGAGAGGATTTTCAAGTGGGGGGGAGAGTGGGCTGTTTGGGGGGGAAGTGCGTGCCACAGGGGTGGGGTGGGTAGGGGGTGGAGGTAGGGGGTGCATTACACGAGGCCGGGAAGCTCGACGGGGGGGGGGATAAATGAAAGCAGGTTTGCTTGTGTGGAAGGTGATTCAACGCAGCCCGTGTTGGCGCTCCCATCGTCCAGGCCGATTCAGACATGCAACCGGTGGTCTGGGGCAGGATTGGGGGGGGTGTGTCTCCAAACTTACTTACTTATTTCCCTTCCATCTCTTTCTCCTGCCCCTTCCTTCCTTCCTCTCTCCCTCCCTCCCATCCATCCATCCATCTCTTCCTTCATGGCCCTTCCTTCCTTCTCTTTCTCTTGCCCCTTCCATCCTTCCATCCATCCATCTATCTCTTCCTCCTGCCCTTCTTTCCTTCCATCCATCTCTTTCTCCTGGCCCTTCCTTCCTTCCTTTCTCTTGCTCCTGCTCCTGCTCCTTCCTTCCTTCCATCCATCCATCCATCCATCCATCCCATCCATCCATCCATCTCTTCTCCTGGCCCTTCCTTCCTTCCTTTCTCTTGCTCCTGCTCCTTCCTTCCTTCCTTCCTTCCATCCATCCATCCATCCATCCATCCATCCATCCATCCATCCATCCATCTCTTCCTTCCTGGCCCTTCCTTCCTTCCTTTCTCTTGCTCCTGCTCCTTCCTTCCTTCCTTCCTTCCTTCCTTCCTTCCTTCCTTCCTTCCATCCATCCATCCATCCCTTCCTTCCTGGCCCTTCCTTCCTTCCTCTTGCCCCTTCCATCCATCCATCCATCTATCCATCTCTTTCTCCTGCCCTTTCCTTCCTTCCTTCCTTCCTTTTCCTCCTGCCCCTGCCTTCCTTCCTTCCTTCCTCCCTCCCTCCCTCCCTCTTCCTCCTGCCACTTCCTATCCTACACACCCATTGCCGGTGGATCCATCGTCCCCGGCTTTGCCGGATCAGATATTCTGGGAGTGAAAGTCCACAAGCCTTAAAAGTTGCCAAGGTTGGAGACCCCTGCTCCAAGAGCTGGGGACAAAGTGCCCGGGAGGAGTGAGGGGCCCGCCATGTTGGGATGACCAAAGCACCGGGGTTGTAGGCTTTGAAAAGGGACGTCCGGCGGTCAGCCCACATGTCGTCCTTCCGAGAAAAGGCCGAGACCGAAGAGGAAGGAGCGACATCCAACTCTCTCCCCTTCCACCGTCGGCCCCACAGCTTCAGGCCTCGTCTAACTGGGGAGTGGGGGGCAGGTGGGGGGGCAGAGACAAGCCACTGGTGTTAGCAACACATGCGGGGCAGGGAAGAAGGGGGTGTATGTATCATGCGAAAGGAGCTGGCGAGAGGACGAATACTCACGATTCGGCCAGCTCGGCTCTCTCCTCGGTCCGTTCCAGATCTCCTTCAATGATCACCAGCTTACGAGCAACCTAGGAGGAAGAGGAGGGGGTGGCAGAGAGGGTGAGAAGGGAAAAGAGGGGGCGGGCTTGATTTGGGGGGGTTAAGGCGCCAAGGCTAGAAACTAGGAGACGGGGAATTCTGGTCCCGCCTTAAGTAAGAAAGCCAACTGGGTGACTTTGGGCCAATCACCAGGAGACGCGGAATTCTAGTCCCGCCTTAAGTAGGAAAGCTAACTGGGTGACCTTGGATCAATCACCAGGAGACTGGGAATTCTAGTCTTGCCTTAACCATGAAAGTCAGCTGGTTGATTCTGGGCCAATCACCAGGAGACGGTGAGTTCTAGTCCCACCTTTGGCATGAAAGCCGGCTGGGTGACTTTGAGCCAATCACCAGGAGATGGGGAGTTCTAGTCCCACCTTAGGCACGAAAGGCGGCTGGGTGACCTTGGATCAATCACCAGGTGGCAGTGAGTTCTAGTCTCGCCTTAGGCACGAAAGCCGGCTGGGGGACTTCGGGGCAGCCTCTCTCACCCAATACCAGGGAAGGACCCCGAGCTGCAGCCCGTCCCTTAAAATGAAAGGCTCTAGTCCCTCGCGATGCCGAAAGGAAGGCTGCGTGGAAGAGGTTTTGCTTATATACACCGAGAAACTACAGATTTTTACAGACTTGGGGTCAAAATTCTCTCTGAAAAGTCATCGGCCGTGGTCTTCTTCCCCCTCCTCAAAATCCCAGGTGATCGAGGGAGATTCCTGCTGCCAGAGCGGAGGGCCACCCACCTCCTCGTACTTCCGGTCGGCCTCCTCGGCAATGTGCTTGGCCTCCTTCAGCTGGATCTCCTGCAGCTCCATCTTCTCCTCATCCTTCAGGGCTCTGTTTTCAATGACTTTCATGCCCCTGTCGGGAACGAACCAACGAATGAATGAATGAATGAGGAAGGAAGGAAGGAAGGGACAGGGGAAGGAATAAAGGAGGAAGGGAGGGATGGAGGGAAGGAAGGATGGAAGGAAAGAAAGAAAGGAGGGAGGGACAGGGGAATAAAGGAGGGAGGCGGGAGGGAATACAGGCAAAGGGAGAAAGGAAGGAAGGAAAGAAGGAAGAGATGGGAAGAAGGAATAGACGGGAAGGGAGAAAGGAAGGATAAAAAGAAAGAAGGGAGGGAGGGAAGGACAGGAGAAGGAATAAAGGAGGGAGGAAAGGAAGGCAGGGAGGGAGGGACAGGGGAAGGGAAAAGGATGGAAGGAAAGAAGAGTGGGAGGGACAAGGGAAGGAATAAAGGAAGGAGGAGGAAAGGAAGGAAGGAATAGACAGGCGAAGGGAGAAAGGAAGCGAAGGAAAGGAGAGGAAAGAGACGGGAGAGAAGGAAGGAAGGAGGGAAGAAAGAAAAGAAGGAATAGACAGAGGAATGGAGAAGGAAAGAAAGAAGGGAGGGAAGGAAAGAAGGAAGAGAAGGAAGAGAAGGAAAGAAGGAGGGAAGAAAAGAAGGAATAGGCAGGGGAATGGAGAAAGGAAAGAAGGGAGGGAAGGAATAAAGGAGGGAAGGAATAGACAGGCGAAGGGAGGGAGGGGAGGAAAGAAGGAATGGAGGGAAGGAAGCGACGGGACAGTCAGCTGATATACTTGCTTTACGACCCTCCCGACTTACGACCCAGCCCTATGACGGTCATAAGTCAAGGACGGAGCCATTCAGAAGCCCCTCACCCACCTCTCGCTCTCATCGGCGGCCTTCTCGGCTTCCTCCAGCTTCTGCAAGGCCGTGGCCAGGCGTTCCTGAGCCCGGTCCAGCTCCTCCTCCACCAGCTGGATGCGCCGGTTCAAGGACGCAACCTCGGCTTCAGCCTGGGGGGGGGGGGGG